ATATATATATATATATATATATATATATATATATATATATATATATATATATATATATATAAAAGTTTGGAATGTAAAAGGTACCAATTGCATTACTAGTTTTACAAATTTTTATGATACTTGGGAAAATTAGTTTTTAGTTGGCGTGTTAAAAGGGTGTTTAGAAATGTTTATATTAATTGATAAACACTTTTTAAGTTATTAGTTTATGGTATGAAAATGAAGTTTTTTAAAAAATAAAAGAATTTTGGATTAGTTTATGCCGTGTCAAAAAGTTGATAAATATTTTTTTTGGCAAAATAACAAAACATTTAAAAAAAAAAAAAAAAGGTTCCTAAAGGTGTGGCTAAGAAGCTCATTTTTTTAACTATATATTTTATATTATTTGTATAAATGGCGTCAACATCTCATCCTCACATCGCCTAATAAAACCACAATCCAAACATCATTTTTTAACCATTAGAAAACTTCAAAGAAAGCAACGCAACGCAGTTCCCTATGACCAACTACTCCACAACTATTCTGGGTTGATCCAAGAAGCTGAATTCAATGCAACACGTTGAAGTGAAAGAGCCAGGAGATTACAAAGCCGAAAGTCATGCAACCTAGCATCACATTCACAATCCTTCGTCCATGCATAGAAGTAGAACTTCCATTTTCAGGATCAACGACTGAGGCTGATGATTCGGGAGGCTGAACTTCATCCTGATCACCATTGTTCCCTACCTGCACTATCGCCTCATAATCAACATTCTGCACCAAGGCACCGACATTGTGCACTATGGAGCCACAGATTTCGCATTTCCTGAATCATATATATTTAAAGTAACTCTATGTCAGCTTGAAAGATGAAGAAAAGCCGCATTTAGACTTCATTTTGTAACAGTTTTTGTCTCAATTTTTACTTCGCCAAAAAATTGGTTTTGACCATTTGTGGTCAAACGGTTTATTTAAATTCAAGATTTTTGAGTTAGACGTATATACTAAAATTTTCATTAAGAAAAACAAAGTAATTCTCCCTTGAATTATCTTGAAATCAAATGCAAAATATGATGAAAAAAATTTAAGATTTGACTGGAAAACTCAAAGTTCAGTCATGTGCTTGTACGGCACAATCTTAACTGCAGAGGTAGTTGTACCGTACAAGTCTTAATAGCAAATCAATAACACATATGATAGGATCTCGAAGAGCCCATGCTTTAGCCACATGCACACATGAATCAGACTCCATAAAATTCCTGAAAGAACACAACAGAAAAACACTGAATTTACTAAGAACGGAAGATAGAAAGATCTGAAAACTCACAAGTCTGCTTTGATCAGAAACCATGTCAGTGCACATTTTTTGTGAGCAGTAGCCAGATCGCCTTTGCAATCACACCCCAATTCCAAAGCCTCGCCGTTATCCTCCCCCACCTCTTCATCATCGCCACCTTCGAACTTCAGATGACAAATTCGGCATTGTTTTCCATCATTTTCAGATAAAACCAATTCACCACTCTCCAAATCAACTTCTTCGGAAATGGGTAGACTAGGGGTGTGATCGTACGAATAGATTCCGCAAGAGTACCCCACGGAGGAATGGAAATGCACCGGAGAATAGTCGTCGAAGGCAGTGAATGACAGGCTGCTAATGTAGTCGTTGAAGGCAGCTTCGTTTGTAACTTCAATTGGGATGCGACACTGGCGGTTGGAGCGACGACCTCTACGACGGCGATCCCAACCAACACCAACAAAACTACCTTCAACGCCGGCGCCGGTTATCTCCATGCCAGCCAAACTACCTATAGTTGGCATTTTCTCGATACGGATTTTGTACTCGGAAACAGCTTTTTCTCTCAATAAGGCGTGCCTGTGTGGCTGTGTGTAAATTTATAATTTTATATGGTGGGGTTGAAAATGGTGTCAGGTTCTTATCAGTGTTAGAAATGCATAGAACTCTTGTAGTCTAGTAGAAAAGGAAAAAAGAGATGTGGGCCCGAATTCTAACTTTTTGTTTTTTATATTATTATCATTATTTTAACTTTTCTCTTTAAATTTTTATTTTATATATATATATTTTTTCAGAAAACTACAATAAGTTTCAAAAACCGATAATCGTATTTAATTTAATCTTTTAACCGGTCAACAGGTTATCTAACTTTCAAAAATTATATTTTTTGCCCTGATTTCAAAATTTATTACAAATTTAGCTCAAAATTTACACTTTTGGCCCATATTTGGTCCAAAACTTATCCTTTTGCCCGAATTTTAAAATTTTGTTATGAATTCATCCTAACTTTAGTTTTTTTACAACTTTTTTTCTCAAAAAAAAAAATCCAAATATGTTTTTTCTTTATAAAATCATATTTATACAAAAAAAGAAACATAGTTTCACATAAAAAAAATCTTATATTTTCTATATAAAAACTTTTTAAAAAAAAAATCTTTTTTGTTTACGAAATACCTATTTATAAAAATAGATATTTACTAAGTACATAAATGTATCCAAATCTGTTTAAATATATATATATATATATATATATATATATATATATATATATATATATATATGTACTTTACAAAAAAAAAATGTATGCATATCCATATTCCTGGGCACAAAACAAATTCTTTTATAAATACATTTGTATGCAAAACACATATTTATAAAAAAAAATGTATACAAACACCTATTTCATAATAAACATATACATTTTTTTTGTAAAAACATATTTATATACATCGAAATAAGTGTTTGTATACATTTCTTTGAAGGGTTTTGAGCAATTCTAACACTCTTAAGTGTACATGCAACCCTAGAAAACCTTGGATCTATGTTT